ACCTTCCTGACGACCTCTGATGATCCTCTCGAAGGCTTCTAAGGGCCCTCACAACAACTTCTGAGGACCCCAGGACGGTCCCTGAGGGGCTGAGGGCCCTGACGGCGACCTCTCTGGGCCCTCACGATGGTCTCTAAGACCCAACGCAAGCTCCAAAGGCCCACGCTGGCGTCTGAGGGCCCCACAACGGCCTCTGAGGGCCTCGACGCAGGCAGGCTCCAGGGGCCATGCTGACCTCTGAGGGCCTTCTTGACGGCTTCTAGGGCCTAACGAAGGCTTCAAGGGCCAACGCTGGCCTCTGAAGAACCCTACGACGGCCTCGGAGGGTCTCAACTCAACGCAGGCAGGTGCCAGGACCAGGAGACATGCTGGCCTCTGAGGGCCCCGCAGAGTTCAGATTCAGAGGACCCAACGACCTTTGTGGACCTTACGAAATACGAAGGTCTCCGAGAGCTCATGCAGGCTCCTGGAATTCCACACTGATTCTCAGGCCCCATGTCGGCTTGTTGAGGCACTTTATCTGTTCTTGGTGCCCCGTCGCCGGCCTCTGAGAGTCTCAATGTCGGAACTTATGGGGCCATGGGCCCTACACCGGCTTTTATGGCCCCTACATCGACTCTTGGGACTCATGACCCATGAAATGTGGGTCTAAGCGGCTTCTAAGAATCCCCATGCTGGTTCTAGTAGCCGCCAGTCGAATATTTGGGCTCACACGCGAGCTCCTGGGACTCCCCGTGCATACCCCAGGGGTCTACCTGCCTCTAAGACCCCACACATACTTTTGGGGCTCAAACGCTTGCCCCTGAAGGCCCCACTGAGACACCTTTCCTCTATTCAGTCGTCCATACCGGCTCTTTAGGCTAAACATCGGCTCCTGTGGCCTCCATCCCGGCTTTGGAGGGCCTCCATACAGGCTTTTTTGGGGTCCGATGCCGGTTTCTGAGAGCCCTCAAAAGACTTTCGAGCCTATACTGCCTTCTGAAACCTTTCAGCAACTTTCAAGGGACCGACCCTGATCGGAGGGCTCATTCAGTCTGGGGAGTCATGTAGGTCTCTGGAAGAGTCTCTATGTGGTCGGTTTCCAAGGGGCTTCTAAACACGGTCTTCTTGGAACGGTCTCGTAGGGCCCTCAATGGTCCACTGTGGATCCAGAAAAGTGATTTGAGACGCTGCGGGTGGTGGCTAGACTAAAAGATAAGCCGATAAAAAAGTAGCTGCATTTGCTGCTTTATGCTTTCATTATTTAAGATAGGTATTATTTAAGATAGGTAAGATTCCTTTTCGCTGCAGCAACGGCTTTTCATCGACTGCCTCCAAGCATGCGTGATCTGGACATGAGAGCTTTTAAAAGAGAACTTCGTCGGCATTTGCTGCAGCAACAAAGGAACGATCGTTAGCGGCGCCTAGTGACGACACTTATGTGATAGTGTGGTTGTGAGATTGGTGGGGGAACGAGGGCGTATGTATGTATGTATGTATGAATGTTATGTATGTGTGTCATCCCGACAACCACTATTTTATTATTTGACTCCGGCACTAGAATAGCCACACAAGTGTGGAGTGAGCCCATGACGTGAAATAAATAAATAAATAAATAAATAGGTAGGTACACTGCAATTTCAAACCTTTTACAGAACTTGTGTGTATGGGGATAGTTTTCCAAAATCTTCGTTTTTCATAAATCAATAAAAATCACTCAAAAAAAAAAAATGGAGGGGGCCCAAAACTTTCAGGGGGCCCCTTGAGAAAACTTTGCACCCCCATCCAAAATTACCTTCCGCCGCCACTGACTATCAGAAACTCCCGATTCCACGTACGATAATGGAGACTAAATGCGCAACTAAATATTTTTTCTGCCCAATTCGAAACATTTCATCAATTTTTAACAGAATGACATCCCAAATATACATATATTCCGAAATTGCCCATGGCCATCCGTGAGGCCGTTTCCAACCATAGTGCAGCGTTACGTAACCCTCTCGGGATCGGGAACGAGGCAGGTCGGAGGAGTTCCGAAAAAAACGGGTTATTTTGGATCGCCTCGAAACATTCGCTGGGCTAATGCTTGTCATTTAGGATAAGAACATTTCCTTGGGTAAGGAGGGTCGAAGGTTTCAGGCGTCTGCGTTTCAGTTCGTCTGGTGCCTGTGGGTTGCATAAACACCCTTTGATGTTACGTAACACGCTTGTCCTGAGGAAAGGAAGAATGGTGTAAAATGAACATTGAACAAGACAGTTGGCTCGTCCTAAACGTCGGTTGTTTGGGATCTTAGGCAATCAATCGTTGCTGATAACTCAATAGCTTCATGAGTCCATGAACATGGAAAAATGGCTCGCTCCCCTCTCCCTTCCGAGTCCCTAAACAGCTGGTCTATTTAAAAGTGGTGGCCATTTAACATGCTCCATTCGACCAATAATGCGATTTCTACGTCTCCACGACATATTTCTACGTCATCGCTGAGTTTTTCCCTTGTGTCTCGCGTCATTCACCTATTTCAGGCAAGAGGTCACATTGAGCCCAGACGGACTAACGTTGGCCGAGCTCACTGCTGAATCAGAAGTCTCGGCGCTTAGGAAAGAACGCAACTTGTCTGACTTCAGTCCAATGTAACATAACTTGTGCTCGTCTACCATTACGGGCTTTTACATGTAGGCATTTGTCTGCATGCGCTTTCGAAATAACCAGCCTTTTACAATCAAGCTTATCACATAAAACAGGACCAACTAGCTTTCATAATCTGTCAATGCTACCTCACCAAGGCTTGTCGCCCGAGCTGTCTGCAGTCGCTTCACCTCCGGCAGGGAAGGGCTTCGAGGAGAGGCGAGTACGGAGGCACTGAGGGTTGGATTGGCCAGCTGGATCTGCGCAGTTGACGACCGGGCCGGAGGCCCCGGATGGGAGTCGCTCCTGAGGTCTGAGCCTGGCTGGTGGTCTGTTTTTATGGTATTTTGGTTGAATGCTTGGGATGACGCGGTCGGTTGCAGCTCGGGATGCCTCTCCGGTGGGTAGTGGGGTGCTGCGTCATATTTTTTGTTTGGACCGGTGGATCTATCGCTGGTCGATCTGTGACGCAGTAGAGGCCGCCTCCCCCTCACTCTCCCGACCCACGCCGCCCCTCCCCCGACTCCAGAGATGTGCTTCAATGAATACCAGAACCAATTGACTGTTACGTCACAGGAAACCTGTTTATGTGGAGGCATGTATCTTGCTGAACTTATACAGTTTCCGTGGTTTCAAGCTATTCATCGGGTCTTATCTACGCTTTTCCATTCATATTCATCCCCTTACCCGTTTTAACGGCATGTATTTTTGCGCCAACAAGCTCCATATCTGGAACTTTCCTCCAAAGGCCTGGGCTAAAACAGGCATGGTGAATATCAGCTATCATCAGTAGGTATCATCCAGCTATCTTGCTGTCCTTTAGTTGGAGTGAGTACCTAAGTGGATGAGCAGATAACTGAACCAGTGCTCATAGGTCTTGCCTCCTCTTCTCAGGGCAGGAGATGCAATCTTATTTGAACATTTCACTGAGAGGATTTCGGGGAATGAGGAGGAGAGTAGGAGGGATCGAAGGGGGAAGGGCACAGGCGTTATATGAATGTCGCCTGTGTCGCGGTGATGGCAGCTGTTTGTAAGACTGGTTACTGGTTAGCTCTAAACAGTAACCGGTCCGCGGTGATGTTACAGATGCTAGCCACAGTTTATACAGTTGACGCTCACTGAATATCAGTCCTCTATAAACAGTGCGCGATTCACTTGGTACACAACGTCACGAATCAGTCCTGGTTTGCGTCATACACATTACAAAATTTGTGTACCTACAGCAAGCCTGGCTCTTAGAGCCTCCACCAAATAAAGGTGCTGCTTGGGCATTTTTTTTTTACTACAAGGGTGCTAGTAATAGCAGGTTGATGAATCAATAAAGTATCATGACTGAAAGTTACGCACTCGGTGTTTGCCACACCCCACTCTTGAAGATTGCTCCCAGTGCTCACTGTGCCCCCATCTCGGACTTTGCCCCTGCTGGGCGCGTCGGTCGAACGATGTGCACCGAAACTACCTGCTCTCGGGGTCTGTGTTGTATCAGTGGGTGTGACAGGGCTCGGGTTTGGACAGTCGCTGGGCCCCTGTCCGCGCTGCACTGGCCAGCGCTGACCGGGGGGGGGGGGGAGGGGGCAGCCCTAGTTGTTGATGGTGTGAGCAGTACCGTGCGAGCTGTAGCCCGCGCCATAACGGCTCGATTCAGCAGGCTGTTTACCACGAGAAATGTGTAATTTGAGGCGGTGGCTGTTTACTTTGCAGCTGTATGGCTGAGATTATGAACGTGGAACGTGTTTGTTAAGTTTGTTGCCGGTTATATGGTGAACATGAAACAGCCTTGCCTCTCACGACCATCGTTGTTCAGTCACACGCTAACTTCATATGTCTGCTGAGGTGAAAATGCGCCGAGCTGATTTTATCACACTAAGTGGATATTTAATGACCGATCATACTACTTTATCTGAGCTAGCTGATGATAATATTCACACAAGTTCACGAACGCATGGTTGATCAAAAGTGGGGGGCGAATCGTACAACGTCTTGTGAAGCTGTTCTCCCCCTTTGCGAAAAGCCTGCTAGAGGTCTACGCTTGCTCCTACTTGCCTTTTTCTCCTTTTTTCCATTATGCCTGAAACAAACGAACTCGTGTCCTGCAGACACTCACTTTCCCCCTTATCTCGCTCTGGATGGTCTGTCTCAGCAGCTTCCTCTCCTTATCTCAGTCAGAAGCTGTTCGAGTGTCTCACTTGTCTCTCCCCGTTTTCAGGTGTGTCTCAGAAGCTCTGGGAGCTGACTCTGCCGGTCTGTCTCACTTGTCTCTCTCTCCCCTCAGGTCTATCTCAGAAGCTGTTTTTTTGTGTCTCCCTGTCTCACATGTCTCCCTCTCCCTCCCAGGTCTATCTCAGAAGCTGTTTTTTTTTTGTCTCCCTGTCTCACTTGTTTCTCTCTCCGTCCTCAGGTCTGTCTCAGAAGCTCGACAGCCTGGACGCGCTCCGGGAGCTGACCCGGAAGTCGTCATCGGACTCATCTCCGCCATCATCCCCTGAGACACGATCCGTGGCCGATCTAGAGATCAGGTGAGACGCCAGAGACGTGAGATGTGAGAGGTGAGATGTGGGGACGTGAGAGATGTGAGATGTGGGACGTGAGAGGTGAGAAAGTGAGCTGTGAGATAGGGATGTGAGGACTTGAGCCGTGAGGGATGAGAATTGAGACGTGAGACGCTACTTAGGAGTTTTGAGCACTGAGAGGCGTTGTTGTGGAGTTTTGGAGTTTTGAGCACTGAGAGGCATGGCTTGTGAGATGTGAGTTTTGAGCTATTTACGCCTAGTGGTGAGGCGTGATCTTGAAGTAATGAGCAGTGGTCAGCTTCGAGTTTGGAGCTATGAGACGTGAGTTTGGAGTTGCGAGAGGTGAGGCTGGAGAGATGTGAGCATGGAGCGAGCTGGAGAACTTAGCCATGCTTATGAACCTTGGAACCGTGAGATTTGAGCTGAGCTAAGCCTTCGGAGTGTTCTCAAAGATGCTTTGGTGTTAGTTTTTAGATGAAACTTTGAGAAGTCACTGCGTTACTAGCTACGAGCCACATGCGCTGTACGCACACACCTCTCATCCTAGCACACGTTTCTATCATTGCTTGCTATCGCAGTATCAACGGTCAGTTGTACTCTTCGCTAGACGTCATATCACTTTTATCGGACAAGATGAGTGGTTCACTTACACACAACTATCTCACATTCGGTAGACTTAATATCTGATGGGAATACACATTTCCCTCATGATGGAAAGGATCTCTATAAAAGCTTCAGAGCCTGGTTCCAGAACATTCGTTGCATTGACTTATCTCTTGTCTTATCTGGTGAGTGAGGCATCGAAGTGCGTAGTTGGGACCTGTCCATAGGCTAATGGTAAGCCCTCCGGTGGGTGGGTTGGTCTTTGTAGCTCTCTGCGCAGTTGGAGAGTCAGTGCTGTACATTCGGTGAAATGTGGCGCAATAGAAATGTACGCATGTAGAGATGTTCACTGAGTGTGTTATCATGCGATGTACATAGTATTCGCGAAGCCGGTAAAGCACTGTTCGGATCAATATTCACTGAGAAAATTTTCGTTTATTGTGCATACATAATATGTATGCCGATCGCGTGTTGTGGTGTTTTTTTTTTTAATATTTTTGTTGCCCGACCCGGGCTTTTGTCGTGAGTAGCACACATTCATACTGGGTTAGTACACTATATACAAGGCAGTGGTACGAATCGTTTTCGGCACCCGCTACGCGGGACAGCCTTGACCGCACGCTTCCTGGCACGCACCCCAGGTGGCACCGCACTGCACTATGGTTGGAAACGGCCTCACCGATGGCCGTGGGCAATTTCGGAATATATGTATATTTGGGGTGTCATTCTGTTGGAAATTGATGAAATGTTTTGAATTGGGCAGAAAAAATTATTTAGTTGCGCATTTAGTCTCCATTATTGTACGTGGAATCGGGAGTTTCTGACAGTGACTTTTTTGGTGCGCCGTCAAAGGTTTAAACAACCGCGCTGGTGATAGCATGTGGAGTACCTCTATGACGTTGTAAAACTGGATTTTTATATATCAAAATAATCCTTGTTATGTTGGCTATCGAGTGGAGTGACTCTTTTTCCCATGCGTGTTCAAAATCAGGAACGGCATTGCATTCTGTTTGCAGTGTCACCACAGCAATATTTGCAAAATTGCGTTTATGTTTCATTGGACATAAAAAAAGTTCTCCATCGACCTCCATTGAGCTTTTTGGCAGAATAAATCTCTGTTCAATTCTGCGTAAGGGGAACGTAAAAGCAGACTGCGCACTTGTGCGCAAAATCGTCCGTGAAGCTTCATCTCCCGAGGCGTACCTACCCGTCGCTTCGTTAGCACCAGGTCGGCTCGTCAGTCTTGCAATCGCTTATCCTTATAAATGATGGTAAGAAGCAGGGTTTCGGAGTCGCGGTGGCGCCAAATCCGACTCCGACTACGACTCCGACTCCTGACTCGTTGCCATGACTCCGGCCGACTCTGTCTCCGACTCCGGACCCCTGCCAGTGTTTCGGAGTCGCGATGGAGCTGTTCCGATTCGGACCGACTCCGGCTTCCACTGCGGGCTCCTGACCGACCCCGACTCCGACTCCGACTCCTGGCTCGTTGCCACGACTCTGGGCGACTCTGACTCCGACTCCGACTCTGACTCCGACTCTGACTTCGACTCCGCACCCCTCGTAAGAAGTAACTGCTCGCCCCTGCACCTGGAGTATGAATATCGTGCAAACGTGTATGGATATCCTGGAGTATGGATATGGATATCCACTGACAGAACAGACATACAGACATGCTGTAAACTCCATTACACTGCCAATACCATGGCAAATCAAATGGCTATCTATGGTTTTTGATCATCGTTCTACATTTTCCAAAATCTTGAACTGAATGTTGGCAATGTCTCGTGACTACTTCACGACCATGACGCATGCATTTCTGAAATTGATCTTTTTTCAACCAGCCACGTACAGTCACCAGCAGTTGCTACCCATCACCCTCGGACGGCGGGGGAGCAAGCTACCACCGCCCCTGCGAGACTAGCGCCGCCATGCGCCACGAAGTGGAAACACCACGTGACTGAGGCCACGTGAGGGCAGGGTCACGTGATGGAGGGGCGGAGCATAGTAGCTTTTGCGCCCGACACTAACTGAAATGCGGCGCTGTGATTGGGCGCCTTAGCATAAATGAAGCCCCGGCGCCAGAATCAGCCGTTCGCCTTATATGGAAAGTGAGCCTTTGCGTTTCACTGTTCTGTATTGGTTTGAGAGCCACGGCACCATACGAATTGTGAGCCCCTTTGAACGGGTCACCGCCCGAGGCACTGAGGCGACGGCTGTGCCGGGCAAAGTCTAGCCTGGTGGGAGAGGTGGGCCAGGGAAAGTGCGATCGAGCAGCCACTGGGACGTGGATTGGTATTATCCAACCGCGACAAACGATGTCAGTAGCCTCTTCTCGTGTCATAGACAGTGTCTATGACACGAAAAGCTAGACAAAGTGGACAGTGCCCAATCAAAAGCTACTAGACGATCCAGTTAAGGAGTTGGCAAGGTAGCCAGACCAAATAAAAAGTTTTTAATTCGATTTTGGTTGACAAATGACATACAAGCCCGCTGTGATGGACCAAAAAAGGAGCTGAACAGTTCATACAACTTCTAAAAAGCTCAACGGTTTAAAAATTCAAAAGTTAAATGTTAAAATTCAGCCTGCATGTAACATTATTAAACTCTGGTCCGGCGCTGGCAGGAAGCTTATATTGCCGCTTGCAATTTCACTACGTTGTAATATAACCAATTGTTCTGTGAGAGCAGCAACTGAAAGCCCCGTTGAGGGGGGAGGGCGGCGCAAAACGGTCCCCTCTCTCCTTTTAAGTCGATATCTCCTAAAGTATAGCAAATGCCGCCACCAAACTTTCAAGACCCCTCCGGGCATCATTTTTACACCTTGTGACCAAATTTTCCAGAGCTCTTATGAAAGGTTAGTCACAAATGACGTCAGAGGGATGCCATGTTTTGTCATTTTCGACCCAATAAAAGGTTTAGCGGGGAGAGCTGTCACGCTAGTTTTGAAGATAACGAAAAATATTCAAGATCAAAAAGATGTAAAATAAACAGCGCTACCAAACTGCTAACTCTTATCTCCAAACAAAAATTGATTTTGACCATCAAAACTATAGAAGTATAACACCCCGAAAATACCAACAACTTTCAAAATTAAAGCTGGAATATATGTTATAGAACTATCTGCTCTAGATATGCCAAACTTAAACTCGATAGCTCCATTTTTAGCAAAGTTATGGCAAGAAAGCTACTCAAAATGTATTACGTAAAATTTTCAAATTCAATTTTTAGCCGTCACAGAACACACAAAGCAAGCCAAAGACTATTGGATTTCCTGTGATGAGTTGCATCGAATAGATACCCCTTTTATGCAAAATATCAACTTTGAAATTTGATCTTCTTTGACCTGACCTTGACCTGACCTCCACTCACGCCGTCTACGGCCGTCTAGCTCACACCATTGAATTTTAAATGTAAAATTGGCCATAAAACATGTATCACACGACCCTAGCATAGTTGGGTTCATATTGTGATCCTAAGTGACCTGACCTCTGTGAACTGACCTGGCATCAATGACATCTTTAGGCAGCATATGTATTAGACAACCAACGCTCCATCGATGTTTTTCGATAGCATGCGTTTTATTTGATGTGTTAACTGACTGTAACGCATTCCTTAGACTAAATCGGTGAAAACAATGCGACCTTTGACCTGACTTGTGACGTCATTGGTTGCACCTAGGTCAACGAAACCTGGTAACATGGTAGTTCTCCGGTGGGGCTATCGAACGCTCTTTGAATGTTTAAAATCGGTCGGTAACTTTCCGAGATCTCAGGTGGAGGGCGAAACGGCTGCACCACCCGATCAGGTGGTAGGGTCCGCCAATAGCCCAAGGGGGCGCGGAATATTTATTAACTCATACAGTGTCATTTATTTTGAGAGCACCTTTCTCACGCCATGACATGGCCTTCTCGTAATAGAACGAAATGAGGAGAGTGTTTTCACGCCTCCTTTTGCACGGCTCTAAGTGTCATTGAGCTATCAACTGTCAGCGGTTTTCGGACAATGAAGTTCTTAGTTCTTACTGAATCCAATTTTATTTCAAACGACTGTCACTGTGCTAGTTTTCACTGTGCTGCGTAACGGGGAGAGCACCGGGGCACCGTGCCCCCTTTGATTTTGGCGTTTCTTCATTAGCCCTATGAGCGTTGCATGGAAATAATAGGGCCAAAAGTCGGCAGTGCCCCCCCCCCCCTTACTTGAAGGTGTTCCGCCGCTATTGCATCCCGTCAACGTGGGTTTATCATAAGGATGCTAAGATTTAATTTCCAATCCGAAGCTGTAACGATGGAAAGCAAATTTGCATTTTATATGTGAAACAAGCTGACACAACTAAATATTTCCTCTCTCGCTCCCTCTCACTGATTTACCAACTGCCCTCTTTCTCATTTTACCCTCTCTGGTTTTCCTTTTCAATTTTCTCTCTCTCTCTCTCTCTCTCTCTCTCTCTCTCTCTCTCTCTCTCTCTCTCTCTTTCTCTCTCTCTCTCTCTCTCGCTCTCTCTCTCTCTCTCTCTCTCTCTCGCGGCGCTCTCTCTCTCTCGCGCGCGCTCTCTTTCTCTCGCTCTGTCTCTCGCTCTCTCTCTCTCTCGCTCTCCCTCTCTCCCTCTCTCTTTCTTTCTCTCTCTCTCCCTCTCTCTCTCTCTCTCTCTCTTTCCCTCTCTCTCTCTCTCCCTCTTTTTCTCTCTTTCTCTCTCTCCCTCTCTCTTTCTCTCTCTTTCTCTCTCCATCTCTCTCCTCTCTCTTTCTCTCTCTCCCCTCTCTCTTCCTCTCTCTCTCTCTCTCCCTCTCCATCTCCCTCACTCTCTCTCTCTTTCCTCACAATATTCTCGACTGTCACTGCGTTGTAGGGCTTGTTTCCAGACAGGTCCAGGCGCTCCCACTCCGCAGGCCCCAGCCCACACGGCCCAACCGCTCAAACACCCTCCGGCGGATGACCTCTGACCTCGGCGACCTGACCCCAGCCGACCGATCGCGTCCCTCTCCACGCCTCCGCCCCGCTTCCCCCACTACAGCTGCGTAGTAATTGTAGCGTGTGCAAAGGTCACGTGACATTATTTACTTCTGCGGCTTGTTCGGCTGACAAGAGATGGCACTAGTGGTCTGTGGATCAGAGGCGGGACTAGGTTCTACGACTTCTTGGGGCACACTTTAGGGCAGAAAAGAGTTTTTTTTGGCTCCCCATCCCAAAATGCTTCGAATATACAAAAACAAGTTAGATATTCGAAAATCGGAGGACCAAACGGATCGTTTGACGTATCTTGCGCGACTGAGAATTGATCGGTCTTCAAACTACTGAACAAAAACGAGGTGATTAGTAGCAAGTGCTGGTGACTGTACTCGTATGATAAAATGAATGTCACCATCGTGTTCTACGCCCAAAAGTACCCATAAAACATGTGTCATGCATGGGCTGCGAATAGGTACCAGTTTTAATTTTCGGGGTTATGTGCTTACCTGATTGACCTGACTTTGACCCTGGCCAGTGGCCTATGCTTGACTGACCCCTACATTGATCTGACACTCTTTTAGCACTTATATGAAGGGTTGTGACAATTGTGACAGTTGTGACAGATTGTTTAGGACCAACTGATGACTGAATTTATTTAGGACCAACTGATGACGATATAATCGAAACGCGAAACGCGAGGCACCGATTGCGAGGTTCTAAAGCCCATGCTACTGAAAGCCCGATTTTAAGTGTTTGACCTGACCTTGACCCGACCTGTGACCTCGAAATTCAGCTTTAAAGTATTCATGTGAATCGTCTCGTCGCGTTCTTCTTTCGTTTGCCGCGCCTCGTGCGTTTCGCTGCGCCTATTTGTTCGCGAGTTATCGGCTGGGGGCGTTGAACGCCCCCCCCCCCCCCGGCAAACGGCAGATGGGGAAATACCCCAGCAACTGCCGGGTTAATCTGACGCATGTTTTGTCATTTGATCGTCATTTTATTTCTTACCTTTTAGCCCAATCTAAAAAAAAATCATAAATACTCTTTCTCCAAATTTTTGACCATTTATGACCAATAGTAAGACACTGTGCGTCACTACGTAGATATTTCTCGCCCTAAAGCATAACAACAATATCCATTCAGTAATAGCAGTATTCAAAACATGTTCAAAATGCCTCGCGATATCGATAACATAACGAAAGACATAGGCGACTTATGACATACTTGCAATGATGACGTCACACACGCGTGACGTGACGTGACCTCGTCATTTCTGAGTTACTGTATGATGCACGAAAGACACTGGTATACCTATGCAAAGTTTCATCGCAGTCGGTCAACGCATTAACAAGTTATGGGCAAAACATTTTTTCGCGTTGACCCCCGGCCATACGTGAGGCCGTTTCCAACCATAGTGCACTGGTGCGCACGCTGGGGCTATCCCGATTTCTCGGGCCCGGCAGGTCAGAGGGCTGCTCCGGGACGCGTATTCGCCATTTGTATTACACGAATCGGCCAACCAATAGCGTGCCTCCTGAGTGACGTCAGCGTGGCGTCATACTTTCGGTCCTCGCCCTTGTGGCGTCTATTGAAGCTAGGTTTTAAGTTATTGACATTTAAGCTACGTGGGGTACATTATCGCCGTGGCGAAGTGGTTAGAGTATCGGCCTGGTGTTTCAGGGGTAGGTGGTTCGAATCCACTCGGCGACTTCGATTTTCGTGTCATCTGTCATTGTGCGTTTTTTATACATTTGCAACGGCGTGCACCTAAGAAATCAGACGTAGGCATTCTTCTAATGAATATGTTGCATAAGATAGATATTTGCAGTCCAACCGATTGGTTCGGTTTCGGTATTTTCCAATGGTCTTTGTTTGTATTTGGTTTGGTAGCGGTGTTCTGATTTTCTGTGATTGACATCACTAATACATAGTGCATACTATGCGAACGTAGCCAATGGAAAGACAAATGGTGCTGGGCGATGGCCATTCATTGATCAATATTTCTCACTGCCAATGGGTGATAGCACGCAGCATTGACAGGGGCGGCGCTGACCTTTTGAAAGTAGGTGGGCACTTGGCAAGGTAATGTACCTAAAAGTAGCGAAAACTAAGATGAAAAGTAAAAATCGCACGCTGGTAAGCAGGCTATTAGATAGCTTTTCGTGTAAGAATCACCATGCACAAAAAAAGTTCGGCATAGCTGTTAGCGTAATCACGGGACGAGATTATCAGTTTCCAGCCGTCAGAGCGTCATCTATAGGAGCTATGCCCTAACTATAACTTTTCCATTTCAGCCGCCAGGGGGATACCTAAGTCCCCTTACTTGGAATCTAGTTAAAGTCAAAAGATTTATATTAGAAATAGACGTTTATGAAGATAACTTGGGACTGGTTGTTAAGTTGCATGCTCACGGCGAGCTGTCATCAATTTATCTCTATACATGTCTTATCTGATCGATGAAATAATACAGGAATCCGTTGTCATTCGAGTGTGTTTCATAAAAGCTCTTCCGACTTTGACGAATATCGACAGTGCCGTAACAAAATTGGTAGTTCAGGTATAGACTGCAACTGCAGTTCTTTTGCAACTTATTCCTTGAAGTGTATCTGTATTCGGCGACCACTGACACCATACCAATACACCACAGCCCGGCGGCCGCTGCGCTCCCGACCCGACTGACGACCCCAAGGTCAGGCCGCCGCCGCGACCCGGCGGTCGGCCGCCCCGCCCGGGTCAGCCTACCCGGCAGGCGTGGCGCTAGCGGAGGGCGGCGGGTAGCCGGATACCGCCGGATCCATGTCACACGCATTTGATTTACATCAAGTCACCACACTCCTCCCCCACAGGATTAGACTGCCCCGCCCGGAATCGCACTGGGCAACGCCTCTCCCGCGCTGAACGACGCGGCACCGGCGCAGAAGCGGTCGCAGCCTCGAACCGCGACGGCGGAGACGGCGACGACGTCGAGGGATGTCGTCCGACGTCCGCGCACTTCTCAGAGGGGAGGGCGCCGGTCTCTGACGCCTCCGCACCGCCCACAGTCGCGTCTCTGGATTCTCCGGCGACGGCGTGAGCGGCGCTGTCCAGAGCAGAGGAGTCCGGAGGCTCATCTGGCACCATCGTCCGCCGGTACTCGTGGTTCGGCACCGACACGTCTGGAAGGGGAACGGGTCTGAGTCTCACATGATCAAAATGTCTGCGGAAGGTCCTCCCATCCTCCAGCAAAATCCAACATGAACAGCCATCGACCTGTCGGACTGTTCCGGGCAGCCACCTCGGGCCGGACGTAACGGGAGGAAGAACATACATGTACACTTTGTCTCCCACCTGGAATATGCGAGGCTGTGCTCTCACGTCATACTGAGCCTTCTGCTTCCTCTGGTACGCCTCCATCACGCTCCGTCTGGCGTCTTCACGCAGCAGGTCCAGCTGAGTCCGCATTGGCCGGCCGAGGAGCATCTCAGCGGGAGACTGCTGCGTCACGCTGTGGGGCATACTGCGGTAGCGGAACAAAAACCTCGACAGACGAGTACTCAGGCTACCTGTAGACTGACGTTGTAGGCCCTGCTTCAGCGTCTGCACAGCTCTCTCCACAAGACCGTTTGAATGAGGCGAGTACGGTGGAGAGGTGACATGTCTGACTCCATTTCGCTTACAAAACGTTTTAAACTCCGGACACACAAAGTATCTGGCATTGTCTGTGACCACAGTCTCCGGAACTCCGTGACATGCAAATGTTTCCCTCAACTTTTCAATGGTAACCTCAGCCGAGGATGTTCTGGTCATGTGCACATCCATCCACTTACTGTGAGCATCGATGATGACAAGAAGCATCACCCCGTTGACAGGTCCGCAATAGTCGACATGGAGCCGTTGCCAGGGAGAGCGGGGCCACTCCCATGGATGCAGAGGCGTTGGAGGCGCCGCATTCCTCCAGCGTTGGCAGCTACGGCATCCTGCAGCCATCCTCTCTACGTCCTGGTCAAAGCCCGGCCACCAGAAGTGCATCCTGCCAAAACTTTTCATGCGGGCCACACCAAAATGACCCTCATGCAGCTGACACAACATAGCGTGACGACCCTGTGGCGGTATGATTACTCTACTGCCCCACAAAACGCAACCATTTTCGATGCTCAACTCAGCTTGCCTGTTGATGTACGGCTTCAGGTCTGATGTGTTGTCCGCAGCATCTGCCGTCCAGCCGGTTCTGGTGAGCTCCAGGACGCGTGACAGCACTGGATCCGCCTGTGTCCAGATCTGGATCTGCTTCTGCGAGACAGGACCAGAATTAACAAACTCCATCAGCTGCACAGTTTCTGCAGGAGTCGGGACATCCCGTGGCTTGTCAGGCAGCGGTAGGCGGCTCAACGCATCGCAGTGTATCTGCTCCCTGGCTGGGGAATAAGTCATCCGATAGTTATATGCAGACAGGAGCATAGCTCAGCGCTGCACGCGAGGAGAGGCCATCACTGGAAGAGGCTTACTTTCTCCCAGAAGCCCCAACAATGGCTTGTGGTCAGTTTTGATCAAGAATTGCCTGCCACACAGATAATAATGAAACTTCTTGACGCCAGAGACAATAGCCAAACCCTCTTTGTCAGTTTGGGCATAGCGCTTCTCGGTGTCTGTCAGCGTTCTGGAGTAGAACGCCACTGGCCGCTCCTTTCCCTCCGGATCAATCTGGGACAGAACGCAGCCCAGGCCATAAGGGCTGGCGTCACATGCTAGAAGCGTTTCCCTGTTTGCATAGAAGTGAGCCAAACATGGTGGATCGATAATAAGATTTTTAGCCGCCTCAAAAGCTGCATTTTCTTTAGGGCCCCACATCCATTTTTCACCCTTTCGCAGCAGTCGGTACAGGGGTGACAAAACTGATGACACTCCCTTCATGAACTTACTGTAATAGTTCAACAGCCCCAGCCAGGCTCGTAGCTGAGACACGTCCGCTGGAGCTGGTGCCTCGAGTATGGCCCTCTGCTTCTCTGAAGTCGGATGCACTCCACTTCCGCTGATCCGGTACCCCAGGTAGGTAACGTCTGGTACCCTGAGGCTGCATTTCTTCTTGTTCAGGCGTAAACCAGCGCTGCTCATCCGAGAGAGCACCTCACGAAGCGCTCGGTCATGTTCAGCTACATCACGTCCGCCCACCAGGACGTCATCGAGGAATACAGTCACATGAGGAATACCCGCCAACAGTGACGTCATAATCCTCTGAAAAATCGCCGGGGCTGAGTGAATGCCGTAAGCTAGGCGGACGAAGCTATACAAGCCTTTTGATGTATTTATTGTGGCCAGTTTTTGAGACTCTGGCGACAGTTCAACTTGATTGTAGGCCTGTCGTAAATCCAGCTTGCTAAACACTGCACAACCAGACAGCTTAGGTAGCAGTTCATCTACCTTAGGCAATGGGTATTGCTCCAAAGCTGTTGCTCTGTTCACAGTGAGCCTGAAGTCTCCACACAGGCGGAGTTCCCCATTATGTTTGGGCACGACAACAATGGGAGCAGCCCACTCGCTGTGACTTACTGGTCTGATGATGCCAGCCTCTTCTAGCCGCTTGAGCTCGTCTTCGACTCTCTGCTGCCGAGCCAGGGGAACTGGGCGGGCCTTGAAGAACCGAGGCTTCACGGAACTGTCTTGGTGGAGGGAAACTGGACCACCGGTGTACCGTCCAAGTCCTTCCTGAAAAACAGCGGGAAACTCGTCCTCCACCTTCCGCACATGCGACATTGCAGACAGCGTGTACACGGAACACTTACCGAACAGCTTGTTCCAGTTCAGCCGTATCTTCTCAAGCCAGTTGCGGCCAAACAGGCTGGGGCCCTTTCCATGGACCACCATGAGCGGTAGTCGAACCGCAGGTGCACCATCAACAGCGACGTCAACCTCGGCGACACCTCGGATCTTGATCTCCTCGCCGGTGTAGGTACGGAACCGCTGCGGACAGTCCTGCAATGGAAGGTCACTGGCAGGCCACATACTTTCATAGAGCTCCTCACTGATCAGTGATGCACTAGCGCCTGTGTCGAGCTCCATCTGGACTGGTTTGCCACTCAACTCAGCTGTAATGACAATAGGGGGCCGTTTGCTTGCACTATTACAGCTGAACAAATCATAAACATCTTCGTCAACCTGACCAACTTGTTCAGCTGCCGGCTCAGCTGCCTCTACCTCAAAGTCTTCTTCTACAACGTGAACCGTTCCTGCTCTGTGAGCCGCTCGCGTGTGTCCAAGCCTAGAACACTCGAAACAGCGTCTTAGTTTGAACGGGCAGTTACGGTCAAGATGCTGCCCACTTAAGCATCTCCAGCACCGGTATTTGGCATCATTTCCGGACGCAACGGATGCGCTGGACTTACTTGGTTTGCGAGAATCGCCTGCACTCCTCTGACCAGTCACCTGACGAACTCCGGCTCCCCAGCGCCTGGTGCTCCTGTCTCGGTCGGCTCCCGCTTCTGCCGCCGCTCGAGGAGCTCTGTCGACTCGGTGCACGTCCGCTGTGGAGACCTGGATGCTGCCACCTTCTCTGTCCCTGAAACCACTTCTCAGTTCCTGAACATCATGGCCAGCAGCCTCCAAAGCCACAGCGATCTCGGCAGCTCGTTCCAGTGTGAGATTACTTTCAGACAATAGACGCGTCTGAATAGCGTCCGAGTTGACTCCGCAAATTAACCGATCTCGAATCATGGCGGACAAGAAAGAACCAAAATTACAATGTTCAGACAGCTTCCTCAGTTTTGCAATGTAATCTTGCACAGACTGACCCTCAGCCCGACAAAAAGTAAAAAATCTGAATCTGGCCACTGTTTCTGAAGGCCTTGGCTCAAAATGGCGTTGCAAGTGAGTCAACAGTTCCTTGAGCGGCATCTCACCTGGCTTCTGAGGGGCCACAAGGGATCTTAGCTTCCCGTAAGTTTCCCCGCCGACAACACTCAAGAAAATTGCTCTCTGCTTAGCAGGGTCACTTACTTCATTTGCGATGAAAAATTGATCCAGCCTCTCGCAGTACTCATCCCAGGACTCCGCTCGTCCCGCTTCATACGGTCCGATGCTGCCGAACGACGCCATCTCATCCTCGTCGCCAATGAAGTGTATCTGTATTCGGCGACCACTGACACCATACCAATACACCACAGCCCGGCGGCCGCTGCGCTCCCGACCCGACTGACGACCCCAAGGTCAGGCCGCCGCCGCGACCCGGCGGTCGGCCGCCCCGCCCGGGTCAGCCTACCCGGCAGGCGTGGCGCTAGCGGAGGGCGGCGGGTAGCCGGATACCGCCGGATCCATGTCACACGCATTTGATTTACATCAAGTCACCACATTCCTTAATCAGATGAACACTTGTCAGAGATTTATTGGGCGTACGATATTGGCGTGCGAACGTAGGGGCCAAAAATGCGCGTCTACGACCGACTTCTTTTTAAGAGAAAAGAACCGCTGAAGCAAGAATCGATCCACCGACCTGTCGTCCATCACACCGAGACTCTAACCACTCTGCTACGGCGACACATACATGTCTGATAGCCATATACAATTGCAAAAATAGTCTCAACTCAAATCTAGCCTCAATGCATGCATTGTCGCCGCGGATGGCTATGACGTCGCACTAGAGATGTCGCTAGTTGATGGGCCGATTCGTGTAATACAATTGGCGAATACGCCTCCGGGACATGAAGCGAGGCCGTGCCCTCGGGACATGTCACCGGACCGAAGGATCTGTTTAACCCTATTAGTGGCAGGGGGGGGGGGGTTGTTTTTATCCACCCCTCAGGTTTTTCGGGAATATCTCCGAAACCCCTGAAGCTACGATGCTGAAATTTTCTGACTTTTCCTTAAACTAAATTGGGCACATTCCCTGAAAATTTCAAGGTCATACCTTTACCAGGGGCGGCTCCAGAGCACTGGGAATTGGGGGGTCCTATTCGTGAAGCGAGTCATTTGGGCGAAGATCACGATGCTGCACCAGTTTTACGAACAGTGAATAAAAGGTATCATGTGATAACACATACAGTTATTGTGCATCCTCTTTTGACACGTTTTTCCTATAATAGGCGGATCCAGGCGTCCAAAAAGGTTACCTCCCAACATAGGTGCCCTGACACCGCCTATGCATTACCAATACAATTTTAGTCGTTCTCTCATAAGAAAATTATAACATAACAAGACCATTACCACCCTTTTTAGAAACAGTACTAACAAAAACCTTTTTTACTATACTTTTTGTGTACCCCCAATCTCAATGATCTGTATCCGCCTATGATTTTTGAAAATGCATATTTTTAGGATCCATGTGAATTCCTGATTCATTCTCTATCGATCGGCAAAAGTTGCGTTAAGATTGGTTCAGAAACCTGGCCGTGATAAACAGTCTAAAATGTATCTGCAATTTGCCCGTTTTTACCCCCCTCTACCCCCCCTATTGACATTTTTTAATTTTTATTTTTTAGAAATGTAGATCACGTTGAGCGGAATCGAATGCCGTTTGAATTTTGAAAATCGGCCCGTTAGATCTCGAGATATCAAGGGGGGGTCGTAAACAGCCCCCCCCCCCTGCCACTAATAGGGGGTAGCCAGGAGCCTGCCACTAATAGGGTTAAAGGCGGATCAGGCCCGTGTACCTGCGGCCGGGAGCGCTCGCTGGCACAGCGGTAATCCCCACGACCGAGCGAACACTCCCCAGTTACTGCCATCTCCTGGGTAGGAGCCGGCCGAGGAAAACGCTGCCGGAGGCCAGCTTTGATCCAAGGACCTCCCACATCAAACGTGAACGCACTTGCCAACTGCGCCACAAGGGTGGTGCGTGTTGTGGTGTTGACAACTGATGATATTGCTATGGTTTTTAATAATAATTTCCATTACTCTGTTCGCGTGAAGCTCCATAGCATTGTCCTATCAGCTCTACGTTGTTATAACCCTACTTACTAAATCAACTCGCGACACAGTTTCAGCAGTAGCTTCCAGCCGCCTCCCGCCACCGGCCACCGCTCCCCGCGTCACCGATCTCAGCGTGGGTCTGCCGGGCTGGCTCCCCGCCAGGGCGGACTAGACCTCCCCTCACCCCGACCCATGGCCATCAGCTGTCCCCCCAGCTATCCGAGGAATGTCTCCCCCCGCCTCGAACCCCTCCGTCCCCCCTTCCCCTGTGTCGTCTGTCATCCTCGCTGTGAGGAGTGGCCGTCTGCCCGGCTGGCGCCCTGTCGGTAGATGTTCTCGAATATGCAGCTTCTGTTTTCTTACATTCCGTGTGGCTCTGATTGGTGGGTCATTAGGTAACGCCGACCGATGTCAATACCAGTTTTTGAGATATGTATTGACAGTTTCTCGTTCTAATTGGATGAAAAATACAATGCTCATCAAGATGCTGTCAAATTAAGCCTATTTAAGTTATTTATTCGAGACGTAATAGGAAGCGACTTACTTTCTAAGCCGGAATTTTTGGTTTGGCTCCCTCTGTATGTTCACCTTGTCATCTCGAAGACACGGTTTGTGGAGGATATCATAGCCAATGACCATTCCATTGTATCTAAACATCAGGCAAAAACAATTTGTTTTTCACCCGCAACTCGTCACTCTTCAGTAACTTTAATCGCTCTTCAGCATTTATTCATTCCCAAATGAGCTACGCCAATCACCCTCTGACCTTTTTCTGATAGCCTGTCAAATGCTGTAATGCACAGTGTGACTCGCCCTTTACACCGTGTAATCGTCTCATTACACGTTAGTGTCCACAGCTGTGACGGATAGGGGGAGGGGAGGGGAGGGGCACCCCAGTCACGCAGTCGGCCTTTTGCCTGCCCGACATAAGCCTATTGTGTGCCCGCTTGCGATGATTGGGTGGGGCTATTACAGGTCTCTGGCTTACGTAGGGTTCTTATGAATGAGGCATGTTTTGCATATCTTGTGATAATATTTTAAGAAAGTTCAACTGTAGGGGATATTCTTTTTTATATAAAAACACTTAAATTGCCCCAATTAGTGCATGCGGGGGGGGGGGGGGGGAGAAGGGGATGGGGGCGGGAGGGACTGCTTAGTGCTTAGGGCGCTGGATGTCCTATGATGCGATCAATAAATCTGACTTCATCGGTCAGAACATGACGGATTGGCTCTGCCGGGATAGGTATAACTTTTGATTTAGTGGGACAAGTCGATTTCTAAGCCCTATCAAAATGAGCAGAGGTCTCACAGATTGAAAGTTTCCCGTTTATGAGGGTGCCTCCAAGCAGACTACGAATATATTTCAGCGATGATGTATTCGCATTTACTTTCATTGCCCCGGAGTTGTCGGCTATTCGTTCAGTGATTGTCAGTGACGTCGTTCGAAGCCCTAAGACTGTCAAATCGTGCACTGTTCAGTTTTCACAGTTGTCGGGTTTTCTGAATCTAACCAATAATCTAACCCGTGTCTCCATCCGACTGTTCCAGCTCGCCGCGGCCCGTGTTCTCCGAGAGGCGGCGGCAGAACTCGCGGCATAAACCCCAGCCGACCATCTCACCGCAGCACGAGGAGGTCGTCCGGTATCTGGAGCACAGTGAGTAGTGACGTCACTGGAGCACACTGAATGGGGACGTCACTGGCCCGATATAGGCACTCCGTAAGGGAGAAAGTGTTGATAAACACTGATTATCATGGGAGAGCTGTGACAGAATGAACGCCACTGACACAAATAGTTATTTTTTTGCAATTTTGGTGCTCACTACCTACTAGTCTAGTTAGATTTATGGTATTTTGCCGTTCAAGTTCTTGATTTTATCTAGCTCGCCTCTTTTAGCAAAACCTTATCTTGACTAATGACTTGAGCTTCCGTCTCCGTTCGACTTTTACTTTTTTCAAAAGCTAAGAGCCTTCCTGCAAATCGGCACGGCCTGTTGAGGGAAGGAAGACTAATATCCTCCCTCGACCGAAGAACTCCCTAACTCTCCCTTAGTAACTGTTATCTTACCTTCGCCCGCCGCCGTTATCTGTCAGTTCAGTGTCTCTCTGTTTCTTCAGTCCGCTGTTACCATGCCCGCATTTCGCTGCGTGCGGCTCGGTGGACCGGGTGGTGATCTTGACCTTTGTTTCCACGTCCCGTTCTGTGGTGACCTTCGGACGCTCCGGGCGTTGTCTCAAACTTAGAAACCGAGTGCCGTGAAACACTCGACGCATGGTCTTCGTCTACTTCTACTGCCATAGTCTGTCGTTCAGCAGAATTTGGTTACATATGGCGGGGGAGGTGCGTTGATTGTTGAATAGTTGGCTTGATACGGAGCACTTCGCGGTTTGGCTGTTCGGCTGTGTTTCAAAAAGGCTGTTGTGATGGAGAAGTGAGCCTATTCAGCTCAAAAGTGTTATCATTTTTTGATGTTATCCCTTTCTGAGCCCCTTCTATTCTTGAAACAGGCCAGCCCTTGAGGACGCTTTCTCTTGATGACGCCCACGACACTTGACGCTCTATGCCTGACGTTACCCATGACTACCTCTGGTGACGCCATGTCCCTGGCGGTGTTTCACGGCACGCTACTACCACGCTTCTATTGCATTCGCGAGCTGACGTCACACCTGTGGTAGTGTGGGAGCAATGGGCTTGTGACGTCTCCAAAGAAACCCAATTTGACACGTGTAATAGCAGGGTGCTGCTATCATCGGTGAAACACCACCCCTGGGCCCTGATGACGCCCTCGGTCCCCTGAGGACGTTCATCTCTGGTGGTCTCTCTCTAGGTCATGGACTCTGTTTTGGGACCACCTCGGGCAGTTTACTGTGCGCCCATGGTGTCCGCGTCCCTCCTCTCCTCTCCTCCCCTCCCTCTCTACCTGAGACGGTCCTGTTGCTAGGCGGCGCCAGGTCCGCTGGAGACGGGTGTTGGCCCACTTTGAAACCGTGAAGGAATGGGCTGATGGCGACGGAAACGCTAGGTCTTCGTCAGCGCGGGCTAGCTCGTAGTTGGATGTTTTGATTTTGTGGAGACGATGCATTAGGTGCACAGTACCCGTAGTGTTCCATTTTATATCGGCAGATAATTTTTTGTGTTCAGATTATAACGGTTGTCAGTTTCGTTACGCCCATTAGCCTTAGAAATGGTTGTTGAAGGATTGAAAAAATAAATATGATAATTGAAATGATTAAAAGCCGACGCCTATAACCCGAACAGTTTGGTTTGGACTATGTTAGCAAACATGATCATTGAATTTCAGTATAGATTATCAGCTTTTTTATTTGCACAATGTCATTGCAAATTCCACTCGTTCGCTGATATGAGACTGCCGGCATACGTTTCAATGACTGCATTAGCTCTGCGGGTGTCATACCCTCCCAGGATTCTTTGCAGGTAAGCCATTGTAGTTCTGCCAGTGTAAATCGTGGACCACCACTTGTTTTTGCGTCCAAACTTTTATACTGCTGCATATCACAAAAGGCATAATCAAAGGTCACCGACAGGTCAGGACGGGTGAGGTATGTGTATCGATATGAATAGGGACATGTACAGTCGGCTTCTTTGACGTTGTTTGTTTCCATCGGTTGATTAAACGGGCCCGTACAAAACACCAGTTGAAAGTGGACTAAAAACAGTTGAATCGATTAGATGGAAGGATAGCGACGGTGCAGTGTGCAACTGCAGTGACCTTGGTGGCGAAAAACAAGCCACCGTTGTTTTGACCGGCTGCGTATGCTGCTTACTCGACCCTCTTTCTTTGTATGATCCTCTTTCTTTCAGTCGATATTTTCTACCGCCCAGACGACAAAGGATCCCAGGTCAAACTAGCACTGACAGATTCAAAGGATGGTTGAAAGAGGGACATTTGTTTTGTCAAGGTGTATCAGCGATCAGTTGAAAATTGTAGAGTATCCACTGCTGATCTTCACCGACAAAAATTACACCACTTCCCGTCCTAACTATCTCGTAGAGTGGCATTGCTGCACTGTTGGCACTGTTCTGCTTTCATCCCATTCATTATTGCGGGGGTCCGTGCCAGCGGCAGGACCGGCGCAGCGACTTGGCTCTCACTGCTGCTCATTGAGCCTTGGATAGTGGGTGCTTGGTTGGAATGGAATGTCTCACACAGCCCATTCACTAAGCCTATGACGCTCAAGCCATTGCCTACAAGCCTTGTATATTGTCCACTTTAACTCTGGAGCGCTGCTGGAGCTACCACAATATCTGGATCGTTTTATCTGGGTGGTCTACCCCGGCATCTTGAAGGCCTTCTTGCTTTACCTCTGGTTTGGGAGGCCCTCTTGCTCTAGCTCTGGTCAGGGAGGCTCATCTGCTCTGCGCGTGTAATGTCTCAGGTCAGCCTGACGGAATCTTCTAGGAAATGTTTGCACCGCCGTCTTTGGCAGTAAATTGCACCCAGAAATCTGCGACGTTACACGTCAGACCAGTCTGGCTAACCATTCTCTGAAGCTACGCAGTCGTCGGCCGGCCGGGGCCTGCGGCCTTGGCAGTCGGCCAACCGCCCCCGGGCGCCGGCCGCTGATTGGCTGGCACGGTGGGCCGGTCCGTGACGTCACCGGTCGGGCCTCTGTTGCCGGGTGACCGACACGGGTTCGTCGAGTCATGGATCGTCTCAGGGGCGATAGGGTGGGATGACTGGCCAGTTTTGTTGAGATGATAGATTCCAGGAGACGACTGAGGAGTTTTTGTAGACGCTTTTTGGGTGAAAGGTCGTGCAGCCGTTCCTAAACACATCACACACCACCACACAAAAACCATCTCCATTTGTTTATTTCTTCTTTTTTTCATTTGGACTATCACTTTAAGCACGCTTATGAAAACGTGTCAAGGTGGCCGTATGGCATGCTGATACAGACTTGTGCCAAGGTCCCAAAAAGGTCCGAGATCCAGGGTTCGCAGAGTCCAAGGTCTGGGACCTTGATGGATCCTGGACCTTGCATTGTCATTTTTGTCGTGAGACCTTGGAAACCCAGGACCTTAAAACATCCATATGCCGCAAGACCTTGGAATCCCAGGACCTCAACATTTGCATATGTCGCGAGACCTTGGAATCCCAGGACCTCAACATTTGCATATGTCGCGAGACCTTGGAATCCCAGGACCTCAACATTTGCATATGCCGCGAGACCTTGGAATCCCAGGACATCAACATTTCATGTGACATGAGACCTTGGAAACCCAGGACCTCAACATTTCATATGCTGTGAAACCATGGAAACCCAGGGGACAGGAGTAGGACCTCAAAATTTTGGTATGCTGCAAGACCCTGCAGAATGCAGATCTTCAGTCCCAGTTTTATTATTTGTCATGGGATCTTAGGAGAAGGGCCGGGACTTACACCATCATTTTGTTGAGGGATCTCAATAATCCTGGAAGCTGGACCATGAGGTTTATGTTGCACATGGGCCACTAAGGACCCTGCACTAGGTTTTGTCTGTAGACACTTCAATAAATATCTATGGTTGAGCCACCAGCTGCAAGGGGTTAAGATAGATACATGAAGAGAAAACGAACCAGACTGTGTAGAGTAATGTAGACATATATTGAGCCAAATCGTTGTCATGGCTGTGAGGCAGAACTGGGACAAGAGACCTGGTAGCTTTTTACATTATCAATGTTGTGGATTATGAAACTGTCAAACAGTGGACAGTGGTGGTTTGGAAAACTCTTTTCTAATCTCACCTCACATATTTTCTGGGCTGTGATATGCCAGGCTTGAAGCTGCTTGGAAGCTACCCACTTGACCAAGTAAGTGTCAAACTTATTTGATTTGCAAGTCTTCAAATCACCATTGAGCAATGAGCATCCAATATAAGCAATGAATCCATGACAGTTCAGCTTTTTCGTTTAGCAGGTTTTCGTCGGACAATTTTTCGTCTGCAGATTTTCGTCCGCAGACTTTCGTCTATGCATTTTTTCGTCTGAGCATTTTTTCTTCCGCACATTTTTTCGTAAGGACATTTTCCGCCTCGTCCAGACGAAAAAATGCCGGACAGAAAAATACTCGAAAAATGTACCAAATCAATTCGTACCTACAGACGAAAAAATGCAAGACGAAAAAGTCAGACGAAAATCTGCCGACGGAGAACCGTCGGACGAAAAAATTGTCAGATGGAATTTTGTTCAGAGCCTTCAAGTTATTGTGAATGAACAGTAAGAAAGTTTTGCGCTCGCTGATACTCTAATTCTATTGGCTTAGTCGATCAGTTTTTCTGTTAGCGCTCGCGCAAACAAGACTTAGAACATATTTGAGTTTTTATCCTAGGTATTATGTAATGTGCAGAAAATCGAAAGCATATACCTATCCAATTCAGTTTTTCCATTTTTATGAAGCATGTAGGTTTTATTTCTGGTTTTTTGATATTGCCTGAAATAATACTTTGATGTCTGTCTTCAATAACTGTAAGGTGCTATCCTACATTCCTAATGATCAGGTAAGATTGATTTGAAAGGGACATGACAATACAAAATGCAAGGTACCTATTACCTACCTATATTTTTATGAATTTGTCAAGCTAAAGAAGGAGAGATTGATATTATGATTCATCTTTAACTTGTGTTGAAGCTCCCCCTAAACCACCACAGGTTTGCAT